TCTGTGTGATGTGGGCGTCGCTGGCTCGGCCAGCATTTATTGCCTGTTTCTAGTAGTCCTTGAGAAGGTAGTCTAGCAATAAAATCACTCGGCCATTGCCATTCCCTTATTTTAATGATCTATATACCTGAACTCGCAAACCTGTTTTGATTTCCACCTCTTGTAGTATTCCACAAGCTTGAACAATCCCTTACAAGTCTAAAGTGGACCAGTGTGCGTTTCCCTACATTGAAATCCAATTGTCACAGTTTTACCCATTCACTTCATCTATTAGTGTCACCACAAATGGTTGTTTGCACTAACGCTGCTTAAAATGAGACTAATCTTTGTGTCATTGGCAAATTTGAAGATTTGGTTTTCTATCCCATTGTTTAAGTTGTTCATAGTCATGGCCAATAGTCAAAGACCCAACAAGGATCCTTGTGGGACACCATTATTCATATCCTGACAATCAGTCTTCATATTGTGCTACTCAGCTAATTTCCTAACCAGATCAATCATTTGGCTCTGATTTCACGAGCTCCAACTTTGTCTAAAAGCCTCTTATGAGTAACTTTATTGATATCGAACTACAGAATACGGGCATTCTCCTGTCTATAGAGTTTACAGAACCCTCATGCCAGAAATCCGCAAGCAAAGAATTAGTGCAAGATCTAATAATGGGAAATGAACCACTGCAGATAAAAAAAAAGGCATCGGGTAGTGGAGGCAACATAAAGCAACTAAGCAATAGTAATCAAGCGCAATCAAATCCAAAATAATTATTGCAAAAGACACAAGCAAAATCGAGGCAAAGTAATATATCTGAAACAGAACTGATTTTGATGGGATTTGACGAAGTAATTGAACAGTGGTGGGAAATATTCAACAAGGAGATCAAAAGAGTTCAGAAAACAATAAAATCATTGAATCATAGAATTTTACAGCATATAAGGAGGCCTTTCGTTCCACTGGGTCTGTACCAGCTCCTGAAAGAGCTACCCAGCTGGTGCCACATTTCCAGCTCTATCTCTACAGCCCTCTAAATTCATCAGTTTCAAAATGTATTGCACAACACTAGACATAATAAACACCACAGTCCTACTAATGCTAGAATCTATATGAAAGGATGCAAGAGCAGTAAACTTAGAAAACAATTGGTAAGATTGACTAGTCAACATTGGAAAAAGGGAAATCATGTTTGACAAACTTGTTAGCATTTTTTGGTGGACATAATGGGCAGAATAGATAAGGGGAACTGTGCAGTGGCCTGTTTAGATATTCAGATGGCGTTTGATATGGTACCGTACAGGATGCTGGTAAACATGATGGGAGTAGATAGGATTGGGGAGAATATATTGGCGTGAATTGAGAATCGGTTAGTGAATTGAAACAGGCAGTGGGAATAAATGGGTCATTTTCAGGTTGGCAGGCTATGACTAGTGGAGTACTGTAAGGATCAGGACCCAAGCACCCTGGTTACTCACAATCTCCATCAATGATCTGAGATGGATGATTCAATGTAAAATTTTCAAGATCATACAAAACCAGGTGGATGCGAGAGATTGTGAGGAAGATAAAAAGTCATATCAAGGAGATTTTGAAAGGTTAGGTGACTGGGCTAAAATTTGGCAGATGGAATACAATGAGGAGAAATTTAAGGTTATATACTTTGGTAGGAAAAACTAAAATACAGAGCATTTCTTAAACGATGAGAGGCAGAGAGAGATGCGCTGAACTTCAAAGGAACTCAGGTGTCCTTATTTGTACAGTTAATCTGCAGGTACAGTAAGCAATTAAAAAGACAAATGTTACGTTGGCCTTTATTACAAGAGGGTTTGAGTGTAGGGATAAAGATGGTTGCAATGATACAGAGCTTTATGCAGATACCATTGCAGACAGCATTATAAGCAGGTTTTGCCTTGTTACCCAAGACACATTTGCCATAGAGAGAATGCAACAAGGGTTTAACAAGCTAATTCCAGAAGTGGGCTAAGGCCCAATTCTGAAGAAGGGTCCCGACCCGAAACGTCAACTTTCTTGTTCCTCTGATGCCGCCTAGCCTGCTGTGTTCCTCCAGCTCCACACTGTGTTATCTCTGACTGCAACATCTGCAGTTCTTGCTATCTCTAATTCCAGAATTGGGTGGATTGTGTTACGAGGAAAGCTCAAACAGTCTGTGCTGGAGTTTAGGTGAATGGGAAGTGGTCATTTGAAAATACTAAATTCCTCCAGGGTAGATGAAGGAAGGATGTTTCCCCTGGCTAGATGGTCAGGGAATATAATCTCAGAATATTTTATTTATTTTTTAATTTATTCATTTTGTGGGATGTGGGTGTCACTGACTGGCCAGCATTTATTGCCTTCCTTAGATGCCCTTGAGAAGGTGGTGGTGAGCTGCCTTCTTGAACCGCAACAGTCCTCCTGCTGTGGGTTGACACACAATGCCATTAGGGAGGGAATTCCAGGATTTTGACCCAGCGACAGTGAAGGAATATCATGTGGTACAGGGATTATTGGGAGGTGATAGTGTCATGGTAATGTCACTGTTACAGAAAAGGACAAGGATGGGTCTGAAATCAAAGTTCCAACTTGGGGAAGGCTAATTTCAATAAGATCAGGTATGATTTGGCCTGAGTGGGCTGGCAGCAGATACTTTTAGCCAAACATGTGTCAGAACAATGGGACAGTACAGGGCCAATGTGTGCAATAAAGTTGAAAGGTGGGATCATCAAATCAAGTGAACACTGGATATCAAGGGATGCACAGCCTTCAAATAAGGGAAAGGGAGATTATGACAGATACCAAGGATTAACAACAGAAGCCCTAGAGGAGTATAGAATGTGCAAGAGGAAACTTCAGTAACGAGATTAGGAGAGCCAACAGAGGATATGAAAGGATAATGGCAGGTAAAATAAAGGAAAATCCAAAGTCATTTTATGGGTTCAATAAGGATAAAAGGATAACCAGGGGACCAATGGAGCTCGTTAATTTGTGTGTGGAGCCTTTGGACATAGGTAGGGTTTTAAATGAATACTTCACGTCAATGTTCACTAGTAAGAGGGACAATATGGGTATAGAATTCAGGGAGAAGGACAGTGATATAATTAAAGAAATTAGCATAGACAGAGAGGAGATTTGAAGTGGCATGGCAGGCTAAAAAGTAGAAAAATCTCCAGAGCCAGAAGAAATATATATCCCAGGTTGTTGAGTGAGGCAAGGGAGGGAACAGAGGGGCGTTAGCAATAATTTTCAATTTCTCCCTGGCCACATGAGAGGTGCCAGAGAACTGGAGGACAGCCAGTGTGGTACCATTATTCAAGAAGGGGGCAAGGGCTAAACCAAGAAGCTACAGGACAGACAGTGTAACCTCAGTGGTAGTGAAACTACTGGAATCAATTTTTAGAGACAGAATTAATCTGCAGTCGGAGAGGCAGGGATTAATCAAGAACGATCAGCTCGGTTTTGTTAAGGGGAGGTCATGTCTGAACAACGTGATTGAGTTTTTTGAAGAGGTGACCAGCTGTGTAGATGAGGACAATGTTTTTGATGTTGTCTACTTAGACTTCAGCAAGGCATTCAATAAGGCCCCACCTGGGATACTGATAGCAAAGGTTAGAGTCCATGGGATCCAAGGAAATTTGGGAAATTGGATCCACAATTGGCTGAGAACCAGGAAGCAGAGGGTGCTGGTCGATGGGTGTTTTGTCGACGAGAAGTCTATGTCCAATGGGGTCCCACAGGGGTCAGTGTTGAGGCCTTTGCTCTTTGTGGTGTATTAAAATAATTTAGACTTGAATTGGGAGGATTGATCAGTAAGTTCACGGATGATATGAACGTTGTTGGAGTGGTAAATAGTGAGGAGGATAGCCTTAGATTCATGGATTTTATCACCAATGATTACCAGTGTGCTCAATAGCATCAACTCAACTTTTAATTGTGTGTGTATATATTTGACAGGCATCACTGAATCTCTTTAAAAAATTATAACACAGATTATATCCACAAACTGGTCAGATAGGCTGATCAGTGACAAATGGGATTCAATCTGGATAAGTGTGAGGTGATGCACTGGGGCAGGATAAACAAAGCAAGGGAAGACATGTAGGACCCTGGGAAGCACCAAGGGCCAGGGGAACCTTGGTGTGTATGTACACCTGTCCCTTAAGGTTTCAGGACAGGTGGATAAAGTAATTAAGGAGGCATCTGGGGTACAGCCCTTTATTAGGTCAGTCTTAGAGTTTAAGAGCGGGGAGGTGATGCTGGAACTGTATAAAATGTTGGTTAGGCCACAGCTAGAATATTATATGCACCCCTGGAATCCACATTATAGGGGGGATGTGATAGCATTGGAGAGGATGCAGAGGAGATTTACCAGGATGTTACCTGGGCTGGAGAGTTTCAGATATGAAGGGAGATTGGACAGACTGGGGTTGTTTTCAATAGAGCAGAGGAGACTGAGAGGGGAAACGGTGAAGATGTATAAAATTGTGAGGAACATAGATTGGGCAGACAGGAAGAAACTTTGCCCCTTGATGGAGGGCTCAATGACCAGGGGGCACAGATTTAAGGCAAGGGGCAGAATGTTTATGGGGGTTGTGAGGATAAGTGTTTACACTCAGAGGGTGATGGGCATCTGAAATTCACTGCCTGTGAGAGTGGAAGAGGCAGAAACCTTCATAACGTTTAAGCATTTTATATGTTCACTTGCAATGCCAAGGCGATGGGCCAAGTGCTGGAAAAGGTATTAGAATAGACAGGTGGTTGGCTCTGATTAGTGCAGGCTCGATGGGCTGAAGGGCCTTTTCCTGTGCTCTATGACTCTTTGAGCATACTTATTGAATTCCAACAGGTAATATAGTAAGCAATATATTTGAATTATCCCAAAAGCCTTTGATAACGTGCCAAATACTTGACTCAAGATCAGGTTAAGATCATGTACAGGCAAAGGGCAAGAATCAGAATGAAAAACAAACTGCCTGCAACACAGAAAACTGAGAAACGGGACGAAAGATATTTACCTAGTCTGGCCGAAGGTGTGAAGTGATATTTCACACGGGTCGTTGGTAGGACCACTGTTGCTCATCATTTACATACACGACTTGCTCTCAGGTATTGGAATTAAAATTCTAACGTTCGAATGACACCAAATCGAAGAAGACTGCGACAAAACGCAAGACTTTAAAAACTCGAAGGATGGGTGTACCTGTGCACTAAAGAAAACAAAAAGGGAAGAAAAAATGATTTACAAGGATGATAACCAGAGCTATAGTGAAACTATCAGCAAAAACATTGAATACGTTTTCTGGGTTCCTCTTTGAAAATGGGGTGACTTGATGGGTCTTAAAAATCACAAGAGGGTTTGACAGGATAAACATAGATAAAATATTCCCACTTATCAGGCCACCAGACACAAATATTAGACAGTCATTAAGAAACCCACAATGGAATTCAGATGTAATTTCTCTATCAGAGAATAATTAAAATCTCGAACTTGTTCCTACAGATAATTTAAGGTTGTGAATACTCTAGTCACATTGAAACGGAAACAAAATTGATGGTGATATGAATAGAAGCCTTTGCTCATAGTGTTTAATGAAATAAGATGAGTTGAGATTCATGTAGAGCATAAACAGCCATTGTCTAGTTAAACCAACTGTATACCGGTAAAGTTGGAAAACTACATGTCAGTATAGTCACTGTCCAAATTACCCAATCCAATACACACAGCCACATTCTGTCATGCCTAGGCACAATCCTGTCTGTGGCAACAAACTGGAGCAGACATAGACTCAAATACTCAACAAGGGTTTAGAATTTAGAATTAGGTTTTATTCTAAAGTACAGGGACGCAAGAGTACAACGAAAAGTTTACTATGTTGCCATTCACAGTGCCATCTTAAGTACAAAATCATTGGTAAAATATAGAAAAATAAAGAAATAAGTTCAAAGTTCGACATTAGGTTCTTCTCAGTACAAAATAGTGAATAAGAAATAAAGTTAAAAGTTCCAAATTACAGTCTTTCTTTAGCTATGGGCCTGCAGTCACTCCGTGCTGGGCTTTCCCCACGAGGGCCCAATCTCTCCCCCACCCCCACACTGGGCTTGACCTCTCCCCCATCCCTTCACTTAGCTCAATCTCTGCCCACCACCTTGCACTGGGATAGATCTCTCCCCCACCTCACTGGGCTTGATCTGCATCCCCCACCCCACATTGGGCTCAATCTCTCCCCCAACGCACAGGGCTTGATCTGTATCCCCTAACCCACACTGGGCTCGATCTCTTACAGTGCATTGCATTCAACCACAACATTGACATTACCCTCACTGAAAATGATCTGGGCAATGTTTTCAACAATGCATAGAAACTGAGTTTGCAAGTTCCGACATGCCCCTTTAGATTTGCTGGCAGATAAAACCTGAATTGCATGATTTAGCAGCAAGGAGTGAACATAGGGACTTAACTTTAAGAATCAAATCAAGATTAATTACTGAACAAAGAAAATATTATTATCTGTGGAACATCAATACATGCTAATCATAGGTATACATGTATACTGAGCTCTCTGACTAAGCTAACCCTCAATAAATGATGCACAGATTAATAAAATGAAGCCAATATTATATGCACACATTATAATTTTTTTATTTAACCTATATTTCTAAACAACCCGTTCAGATATGTTATTATAAGTATAGGACTTGGGACGTCATGATGCGGTTGTATAGGACATTGGTGAGGCCACTTTTGGAGTACCACGTATAGTTCTGATCATTCTGCTATAAGAAGGATGTTATTAAATTGGAGAGGGTGCAGAAAAGATTTTCAACAATGTTACTGGGACTGAAGGATTTGAGTTATAAGGAGAGAATGGATAGGTTGAGATTATTTTCACTGGAGGGTAGGAAGCTCAGGTTTATAAAATTATGAGAGGCATAGATAAGGTGAATAGCCAAGGTCTTTCACCTTGGATAGGGGAGTTCAAAACTAGAGGACATAATTTTAAGGTGAGAGGACAAAGATTTAAAAGGGACCTGAGGGCCAACTTTTTCACACAGAGAGTGGTTTGTACCTGGAATGAACTGCCTGAGGAAGTGGTAGATGCAGGTACAGTTACAACACTGAAAAGACATTTGGACAGGTGCATGATTAGGTAAGGTTTAGATTGATTTTGGCCAAGTATAGTCTTGGAAACCTAATTGGCATGGACAAGTTGGACTGAAGGATCTGTTTCTGTGCTGTGTGACTCTATTACTCTACATGCTTCTGGAGCACATGGGGCTTGAACCTGGGCCTCTAGGTCCAGGGGTGGGGACACTACCACTATGCCACAAGAGGGCCAATGTGCATTCTTTGTAAGTGTCATTTCTCCCATTGCCCACTCAATACTAATGACAATGGAATTGGACACTGAGAATTATCTTTCCACCTTTCCTGGATCTGGGGTTAGTGCCAGAGAACTGGAGAATTGCAAACACATGCCCTTGTTAAAAAGGTGTAAAGGTAGGCCCAGCCATCACAGATCAGGCAGTTTAGCTGGGGTTGTGTGGAAACTTCTAGAAATTATTGTTCGGGATAGATTTAACCGTCAATTGGAAAAACGTGGGTTAATTTGGAAGAGTCAGCTTGAATATTTTCAAGGAAAACTGCATTGAACTAACTCGCTGGAGTTTTTTTGGAGAGGTAGCGGAGAAGGTTGGTGAGGGTAAGTGGACTTCCAAAAGGTATTTGATACAATGCCGCACAACAAGCCTATGAAGAACATTATACTTGATGGAAGAAAAGAGACAAAAGCAACTTGGATGCAAAATTGGCCAAGGGATAGGAAACAGCTGATGGGTAACTTTTGGGCTGGAGAAAGATTTGTGGTGGAATTGCCCAGGGTCAGTATTGGAACACTGGCTTTTTCTGATACATTTAAATGATCTAGATCATGCGATACAGGGAACAATGACAAAGTTTGCAGTGACACAAAACTTACAGAACTGTAAACTATGAGGAGGACAGTGGAGAATTTCAAAAAGGACATTGACAAGTTGATGGAGTGGGCAAAAGTTGGCAGATGAGGTTCAATCTGGAGAAGTTTGAGGTGATTCACTTTGGTAGAAAGAATATAGACAGGCCACAAAAAAAAAAGCAAAAGGGTGTGCAAGAGTAGAGAGACCTGGATGTATATACTGCATTGGTCATGAAAGCTGGTAGGACATGGGGAGAGCAGCTAATAAAGTACACAGTATTCTAGGGGAATACAGTACGAGAGTAACATGATGAATTTATATAAGACAATGGTTAGAACTCAGAAGGAGGCTTGTGTACAGTTCTAGGAAGTTGTGCATGCGTTGAAAAAAAATCTACAAGAATGGTTCCAGAGATTTGAAGTGGCTAGGACTGTTTGTCTTGGAGACAGAAAGCTGAGGAGATTTGGTAGAAGCTTCATACATCATAAGGTGTCTGGACAGACAGATAGGGAGAGACTATTCCTGCTCGTAAATGGTTTGAGAACCAGAGGGTGCAGTTTTAAAGTAGCCGGCTAAAGAAGCAAATGTGAGGTGAGGAAAATCTTTTCCACACAGCAAGTTTGGAGTGCAGTGTCCGAAGGTGTGATGAAAGCAGTTTCAATCGAGGCAGTCGAAAAGGATATTAGGTAATTATTTGAACAGAAGTAGTGTATAGGGATATGGGAAAAGACAGGAGACTGGCACTGAGTCAGTGCAGACACGACGGGCCAATGACCTTGCTCTGCACTGTACTAATTCTGTGGTTCTAGTGCTGTGTTGTCAGCTGATGACAAGTTTCACTGATGAAAAGCTTTCCCCACTGCAGAATTACACACGCCTCCAACTCTGCCAGCATTTAACAGTTCTGTTGGAGTCCTGTGGGAACCAAGTTCTGATACAAAAACACAAGTATCACCCACTTGTGGTTCCACCATTGGGAACAGAGTGCCCATTGGTCTGTAACAACTGAAGAGAAGCTTTCAGCTCATAGTCTATAGTCTTGTAGGCAACAGTGCATATCAAACTGCTTTAAAATGATTTGAGGATTTCTATCTTTCAGATTCCAACCACCCTCCGACTGAAAACTTTTCTCTTCAACATCCATCTATTTCATCTGCTAATTATCTTACATTTATATTTCCTTGTATTGAATTCTCTGCTAAAGGAAATCATTCTTCTTATCCACTCTACCTAAACCTCCCATAAGTTTACATGTCTCAATTAAATGTCCTCTCAGCCTCCTCTATTCAGCCTCTCCGATCCTTTCTCATACCTAAAATTGCCTATTGCTATTAACATCCTCATAACTGTCCTCCCAAGTGCATCCACAACTCTCCAACCATATGGTGACCAGAAGTGTCTGCACTACTCTAGCTATGGACTAACATGGTTTTTTTTACAGTCTTTGCATAACCTCCCTGCACTTACATTCTAGATCCTAAGTAATAAAATATCTTTAAGTCCTTCTTTAACACCTTCTATACCTGCCCTTTTACCTTCTAATATCTTTCATATGTACTTAGAGATCCATCTAGAATCATAGAGATGTTCAGCATGGAAACAGACCCTTTGGTCCAACTCGTCCATGCCGACCAGATATCCTAAATTAATCTAGTCCCATTTGCCTGCATTTGGCCCATATCCCTCCAAACCCTCCCTGTGCATGTACCCATCCAGATGCCTTTTCAATGTTGTAATTGTACCAGCCTCCAACACCTCCGCAGGCGGCTTATTCCATACACACACCACCCTCTGCATGAAAAAGTCACCACTTAGGTCCCTTTTAAATCTTTCCCCTCTCACCTTAAACCTATGCCCTCTAGTTTTAGACTCCCCCACCCTAGGGAAAAGACTTTGGCTATTCGCCCTATCCATGCCTCTCATGATTTTCTAAACCACTATAATGTCACCCCTCATCCTCTGACACTCCAGGTAAAATAACCCCAGCCTCTTCAGCCTCTCCTTATAGCTTAAACCCTCCAACCCCAGCAAAAATCCTTGTAAATCTTTTCTGCACCCTTTCAAGTTTGGCATCTTTCCTATAGCAGGGAGCTCAGAATTGAATACAGTATTTCAAAAGTGGTCTCACAATGTCCTGTACAGCCATAACGTAACATCCCAACTCCTATAATCAATCCACTGACCAGTAAAGGCAAGATGTGGAGATGCCAGTGTTGGACTGGGGTGGACAAAGTCAGGAGTCACATGACACCAGGTTATGGTCCAGCAGGTTTATTCAAAATCACAAGCTTTTGGACCACTGCTCCGGTGACAAAGGAGGTCAAGCATATCATGTTCCTCTACACTTCTTGGAGTTTTACTGTTTGTTGTTTCTCTCATGTTGCCTTTCTAATTAAATTACATTACATCACACTTTTCAGATTGAATTCCATACTGTGAAGGCTGTCAGTTCAGCTCACAGTGTGGGGCTGTAGTGTGTACTGGAAGCTACATAGAGCATTAATACATAGAGCTCTGTCCTTCACATTCAACAAGAACATATATACACCCAATTCCTGCTTCTACTCAATGAAAAGGTGTAAGCTATTTGCTGGTTCACTTCTCAAGGCAATGCATCAACCAATCAAAGACAACCTGCCTGATAAAATTTACACAAAACTTGGCAATATCTGTTAGTCATCATCAACTGGCACATTTTGTATGGCAACTTTTAACCAATTGGCCATTTCCATTCCTAAACAAAAAAAGCTGTAAGTACTTTACTTTGCATTTTTTGCAAAATGTCCTGATGAGCACAAAACTAAACATTTAGACGAAATGTGCCTTTTGCAGCAACTGTCAAGTTCTGAATTACCAAATAACCATTTATATTTTCTAGGAGTTGTTTTCTCTACCTTCTGTACTGACTTACTAAGATCCTGCCTTCCATTTCCAGCTTCAATTCTCTGCCTTATGAATTTATTTTCATGTTGCCCCTCCCTGCTAAGCAAGTTTAAGCTCTCGCCAGAAGCACATTGACGTTAGCTCCAGTCCTGTTGAAATTGAACCTGTTTAGTCTGAATAGATCTCAGCTTGCCTAGAGCCATCTGCAATGTCCCAGGATTCTGCAGCTCTCTCTTTAGCACCATCTCTCCAGACACACATTCATTTGTTTTATCGTACTATTTCTGTACTCACTGGTGCATGGCACAAGATACAATCTGGAGATTACTACTTTTGAGATCCTGCTTATAAATGTCTCACTAACATCTGCTTACAGAATCTCTTTCCTCACCTGTATTACTGGAGTAATGTGGACTATGACTGTGGTTAACCTTTCCTGCAGAATGTTCTGCAGTGAATCTATGAAGGATAACATAAGTGTGTGTCATAATATCCTGGGTGTCACAGTTAGAGATAGCCAGTCTGTGACATAACTTAGTCCACTATCATTATAGTTTGTCTGGCTGTACTCCTCAATCCCCTTCTACCTGCTCCACCACCCCTACCCTCAACACTATTGAGCTATCTGTGTCACTACTGGCATGATTCTGACTGTACACCCCAGCAGAAACATTACTGTCACCAGTTAGAGAGTGAGATGTACTTAAGGGTCTCTTGCACCATATACCTGATGCCTTGATCTCCTCCAGCAGATTGCACCTTTTCTTATTTGTTGATAGGCATCACTGATAAAGCCAGCATTTATTGACCACTCTTATTTATCCTTGATTGGTGGTGGTGAGCTGTCTTCAGGTGCCTGCAGTCTCTGGGGTGTAAATACATCCACAGTAGTTAGGGAGGGAATTCCAGAATTTGACCAAGTGATAGTGAAGGAACAGCAATATATTTCCACGTCAGGATGGTGAGTGGCTTGGAGGGGAACTTGGAGGTGGTGGTGTTCCTATCTATCTACTGCTCCTGTCCTTCTAGATGGAAGTGGTCAGGGGTTTGGAAGGTTCTGTCTGAGGATCTTTGGTGACTTTCTGTAGTGCATCTTGTAGACAGTACACACTGCTGCTGGTGAGCGTCAGTGGTGGAGGGAGTGGATGCTTGTGGATGTGGTGCCAATCAGACAGGCTGCTTTTTCCTGGATGGTGTCAAGCTTCTTGAGTGTTGTTGGACCTGCACCTATCCAAGCAAGTGGCGAGTATTCCATCACACTCCTGACTTGTGCCTTGTGGATGATGGACAGACTGTGAAGAGCCAGTTTGAAAATTAATCACCACAGAATTCTTAGCCTCAGACCTGCTCTTGTAGTCACAATATTGAGATCACTAAACTTTATAATATTCCTGAACTGATGTTAGAGAGTCTTCTGGTGTCCTGCGCACTCTTTTATTTTGACAGGTTTTCAGTAAAGGATAGAAAATGATCCTCCATGTGAAGTGAACTAAAATGTTGACCTTGAGGTTGGTCCTGTGCCTGACCTAGATTTTTTGTTTCAAATGTTTATGTTTTGAATAAAGTGAACTTGTCTTCTTAAAACTAAGCAATATTTCTGATTTGTGTACAAGTGTGTTGCTCCTCCGTTGTGCTTTGGCTTAAATCTTGGGGAGTATCTCAATGTGCACCTCACTGTTTTCCCTCTCCAAAGTAGATCTATCCAATTTATCCCCGATTCCCTGTCCTTCAGCTGTAACATTTTGTTTCAGCTTCATGCATTTATCTAGTTCCCTGTTGAATATTATTATTGAATCTACTTCCATCATCCTTTCTGCCAGTACATTGTGGATCACAACTCGCTGCACAAAGAGAAAACATTTCAGTTGACAACCACCCTAAACCTGTGCCTCTGCTTGTCAAATCTTCTGCCGCTGAAAACTACTTGCTTCGTATTTGCTCAGTAATTTTGAAAACATCGAAGAAATCTCTTCTTAACCTTCTCTGCTCTAAGAAGAATGACCATGATTCCTCCAGTCATTCCACACAACTGAAGTTTCTCATTGCTGGTACCATTGTACTATAGTTCATCTGCATCCTGTCAAAGTCCTTGCCATCCTTTCTAACTTGAAGTTTAATTTGAGCCTAACGTGATTTATTAAGGCTGCGCTTAAGTTTCTTGTTTTTGCACTTTATCCTCCACTAATAACGTGACAATGACTTCTGCATCTTAGCAACATTTCCAATGTGTCCTGCCACTTTCAAAGCTTTCTGTACATGGACCTCTTGGTTTGTCTGGCCCTGAACTTCCTGTAAAACAGTACAATTGAGTTTATACTCGTCATTCTTCTTCTCAAAACGTTTCACTTCTACAACCCTGCATTAAATTCCATCTGCCATGTTTCACCAGTTCTCCTGAAATCTTAAGTTCCCTGAACTCTGACTCTATTCGACAGTGCACATTGAACCTCCTAAATATTAACTATATTTCTGGGTTTAAAGCTGTTTGCAAGTTTAGGTTATTCAAATATACCAAAAAAAAACAATCGTTCCACCAGCTCTCTCAGGGAAACACTATTGTACATTTCTTTCCCGTCTGAAAAACAGTCCCTCAGCCAGAGCGAGAATTCAATTTTACCTCAATTTTGTAATTTGATACTTTGGCGACGACGTTTTTGAAAATTCGTCTACTTATAACTGCACAACCCTTTCTGCTACTTAAACATCTCAATGAAACTGGTCAAATGGGATTTACCATAAAAAAAACTGTGCTCACTTTAATTATGAGCCCACACTTTTCAAACATCAAATAATTTTCTCCCGGTTTATTGTCTGCACTGTTGGTACCCGATTGTTATTTAGCTACTGAGTCTATTCCAGTCTGTTTCTTTTAAAAAACGGGGTGTGACATTTACATTCGAGTAGAGATTCCAGACACACTGTTCCTCTATTTCTGAATGCCTGCCTTCCACTGATTCAGTCAACGATGTATGGAATTTTTTAAATCGGTTTTTCTTCTTCATTGTTCTAAAGAAGCTGTTACCAAAGGCAGTGATCAGAGATCTGATGGATAGCTCACCACGGGAAAAGCAGTGCCCTTGTTGTGTTGAATGTGCAAACACAGCAGTGTTCAAACCCCTTGACTGAAATAAAATCTATCATTGAGATAGCACAACCATCACTACACCAGCTCCTCACTTCCCTTATTAGTGGACAGTGTTAGTGATAGCCCCACGTTCGGGCGGAGGGGGGGGATTGAATAGCCAATGGTAGCTGAGAGTGTCGTCTTGTGACATTAAGCCGCTGCAGCGGACTAGTAGCCATTCACCTGAATTTCTCAATCTCGGACCTCATTTGGTTTGCTAAACTCCTGGTTAGCCCGGGGCCTCACTGTCAGTGCAGGAGCAATGCATGTCACAGTCTCCTCTCTGTAATTCTGACAGAGCAGCCCCCCTTTATCCCTGCACACACCCCCTCCCACCCCATTTTCTGGGTAGTTCTGATCACAGCATCCTGTGTGTATCTGCCTTAGTTTGCTCAATTACCCGCCGCCAGATGATTTTCTCCCTTTTCTCGATAGAACCCCACAGAGATTCCTTCCTCAATAGGAACTGGGCATCCTCTGAATAAGCACAAATATAGGCTGAGGTCTTTGCACTGTGAATGCGTGTTTGCATCTGTGTCTGTCTGTATCTGCGTGCATGTATGTGTGTGTGTGTCTGTATTTCTGTCTCTGTGTTTGTCTGTCTGTCTGCGGCAGCCTTTTATGTGTGTCCATAACAGGAGCTGTAGCTGGGGACGGCCTCGCAAAGGTAAGTCTGACAAACAGTTCACCCTGTTTAAAGGACAGCCCGGAGTCACAAGAACTGAAAACTGAAGAGGGGAGTCCCAGCCAGACTGAGGCTCTGCCACCATTGAGCAGAGCACAGGCAGCTCGCCCTGTCTTACCTGGTGCCCTGTCTCCCAAACAACAGTGTCAGGGAAGCAAGCAGCATCCCTCAATACCAGCTCCACCACCACCCCCCCACCCCCTCCGGGGCTCCGAGCGGCTGGGGGCTCCCTTCACAACGTTAACACACACATTGACAACACATGAAACCACTAGGTTCTAGCAATCGCGCCTTTCTCCACCCTCCCGCCTCTTATAACCCCATCCAGCCCTCTCTCTTTGGTAGCTGGATCCTGTTAACGTTCCGTTGGTGAATATCAAACAGGGGGCTTGGCGCCCGTTGAGGGCTCGGGAGCGAACTTCAAATCAGTTCCTACCATTGTGTACCAAGACACGAAATCTGCGTTTAATACACATCTGTCATCATGTGCATATCAAGATTTCGACATCAATGGAATGGTTTTAAAACTCACCTTTTACTCTTCGCTGTCTTCTTTTCCTTCTGCAATCAATCCGACCAATTTCCCGAGGTTTAAATCACCGTTGGGATTAGATTTCCTTTGTTGCTGGGCGCGGGGACAGTGTAATATAATCCTGGAGGCAGCGAAATCTCACAGAATGCCCTCACACCGATTACTGTGTGTGTGTGTGTGTCGTTGCTGTCAGTGAGTGGGCTCACTCAGACTTCCTGGATATCGCTGTTGTGGAGCTCAGATTGTGCTCAGCCCGTAACTGCCTGTGTGCTGCTCCCGCCTGGCTGGGAGTCGACTTGCGTTTTGCCGAGTGTGAGCCAGACACTTTGAAGCGTGTGGACGAATCCACACAGCCGAACCCTCACTGACATCACACATTCACCGCTGGTTCCCCTGGAAATCCCTCTCCAGTAGGCAGCCCCCTCCCCTTCCTTCCCTAACCCCCTCCCCCAGCCTCTGACAGCATCTGTTCCCTACCTCAGGAGCCAACGCTCTTCTCTCGTTAGAATGCAATCGCATGTATTCACACGACCAGTTTTAATATACCTTGCTTCTTTCCAAATTTGATCATACGCACATCCTTCTTTGTGCAAAGTTTCACCAGCACCTTTTCCTGATGTGTCTTTTTTTTTAATTGACATAACCCCACAAGCTGCCATTAGTATTTACTGATGATTATCTGCTTATCTTGGTGCTTTAGACAGAAGTCACGTGAGGTGAGCTCCTGTGTAAGTATGCACCGAGTCCAGACAATAAACACGATTTGGAAACACAATCAATTTCAAACATGTTGGATAACTGGAACATGGGAAACTTAGCGCTCTCAGATACCTGTACCCCGGACCTTTCAGAGAAATCTCTCAGCAAATTACTTGTAATTGGGAATTGATAACGAGGCATTCCGACAGAAAAAAAGAGAAGCTGTGGAGAGAGGAACAGAGTTAACGTTTCAGGTTCAGCAAAGAGACAATACAGATGCTGACAGACCTGCCGAGTTTCTCCAGCACGTGCTGTTTCTGTTTCAGATCTCCAACATGAGCAATTCTTTATTTATTGAACCTTGCTAAGCAACTGGACCACCTCACTAAGCAATGAGATTTTAGCATTGATAAATTAATGGACTGATTTAGGTACAAATCAGGTTCAAAAAGAGAGGGACAAGAAATATTGATTTGAAAAGAAAATAGACACAGAAGCAACAATAAAAATATTCATCAGTCAAGTTACATTGTTTTACATGATATAAATAGGAACATTTATAGTTGTGTATTTAACCACATAAATGTAAACAAACTTTCAAACATCATTGTGTGTGCACAGACACATTGCATATACGTACAAATAGACGTAGTTGTATTCAAAGCAAAATACTGCAGCTGCTGGAAATGTGCAATACGAAGTGCTGGAAATGTTAAGTGTGGCAGGGAGAATCAGAGCGAATTGTCCAAATTATATGCTCCTACAAAATTAGTATCAGCGTCTAAAAGAGGTGGTTGAAGTACGGGATGAACTATAAAGAAAATGATAAAGAGAATGTGTTAGAGATGCTGGCTGTACATAAAGCTTTTTAATTTCAAAAATATACTTTATTCATTAAAATATATTTGCATAAGTTCGGTTCTATACAGTAGCATATGAAGAAAACAAACAAACATTGGCGTTTGACTCTACCAAGCAAACAAAATAAAGAGTTTCAGAGATAGCAGGAACTGCAGATGCTGGAGAATCTGAAATAACAAGGTGTAGAGCTGGATGAACACAGCAGGC